TATATTATTCGATAAATAATATTTTTTTTTTGAAAAATGGGTACTATATTAATATAATGGAGGAAAGTCATAAAGAACTGGTTTTTTATTGAAAAAATAGTTTATTTTTATTTTATGCGATAAAAAAATTTGTTTATGGCAAAATGGATACTCTAACCAGCATAAGGGAGGGAAGCCATAAAGAGCTGATGTTTTATTGAGAAACGGGTTCATTAAATTATTGTTGTCGATAAATAAATTTTTTTTATCCGATAAATAAATTTGTTTATGGTAAAATGGGTTCACGGTTCTTATAATAGAGGAAAGGTATAAAGAGTTAGGATTTTATTGAAAAATGGGTTTATTTTTATTGAAAAAAATCCACTTTATATAGTTCGTTGTGACAACCAGGCTTATCCCCACTTTTGTTTGAGTTTTGATTACAATGGATATAACCTATTCCCTCCAAACCCCAAATTTTGAATTATAACATTCAACCAAAACATGCTCAAACTCTCAGGCTCGGTCATACAAGGACAACTAGTGTGAATATCCGTGCTACGCACGGTACTTACATTATTAAAATAAATTAAAAAATTATACCATTTTAATTTCGAAAAAGTTAAAAAACTTCACCAACATAATTCAAATTTAAGATTTGTCTAACAATAGTTCAAAATATGACAAAAACTGTAAATCATTCAAGAATTGTGTTTTTGCAAAAGATGGATGTTAAAGTAATAATAATAATTTATATTAAAAAATGAATGATATATGGATAGAAATAAATGTAATTGCATGTTTTTTTATTTTAAAATGAAATACTTACCAGTATTATGCATTCGATTTGATAATCTTATATATATATGAATTATGAGAATATATATATGTATGTATATATGTGTGTGCGCGTGAATTAACTACCTTTGAATTAATTTTTATTTAAAAAATTATTTATTTTTAATGCCTTTATAATTTGTGAATGATTGTGAGAGTAAAATATATTATGACAATAAGATACGTTGAATTGTGAAAATTGTAATTTAAACAGGCTCCTATATTTTGGATATTTGACTTTCGTAGTTGCGAATTTCTTAAATTAACGGTTAGTTATTACTCTAAGTGATATGGTAAGTGTCAGTAATAAATGTGAGATGTGAATTGGAATTTGCAGATATCATTTTACAGGGGTGGTTATTATCCGTTAGTTAAAGTTTAGGAGTTTGAATTTTATGGGGTAGTGGAAAAAACATAAGGGAAATGTGGAAAAAATATAAGTATGATTATAGGATTTGTAGGGCTGGTTACATGATTAGTTAAGAGATAAATATTTTTTAATTAAAAAAATGCAAAATTCTATTCAAATAGCATTCAGACTTTTGATAATTTTTGAAGCTCCTTATCCAAAACCCCCCAGCAATACATTTAGATATAGATACTAAACGATAGTTATGATAGCGAAATAGTTTTTACCTGATATAACACGTTGTTGCACTTTTACCGATCATTTGATTTATTGTTGAACATATTCGCCTAAATAAAATAACACCTAAAATTATGGAAGTAAGTTTCCTATCTAAAATAGTAAGTTAAGTGTAATAGATTAGTAACTTTTATACCTCAAAAGGTAAATTGGAATAAATATTAAACTTAATTTTTAAATAAATAGATTACTACTTGATATCCCAAACTTACATTTAAAAGAGTAAGTTTAGTTCAAATAACAGTAAGTTTTTATACATAAATAGTAATTCTTACTAATAACATGGCAATAAAAATGATTAAGGATCAAAATTTTCCATTTTTTGGAATGCATGTACAATTTTTACATTAAAACCTTATCTCAAAGTAGTATTACGAAGTTTATTTCAAATAATGATACGATGTTTTTATTAATGATTAAAACTTAGTACCTTAGTTAGTAAGCACTCATAATAAACCTTAGTAAGTTTAATTCAAGTAGTAGTAAGTTTTTATACATAAATAGTAATTATTACTGATAACATGGCAAATTTTATTAATAATCAAATAAATAGTAAGTTTATTTTCATGGTTTTAATTTTAGCAAATGATACCTTGGAAATAAAAAAAGTGCAAAATTAGACTTCAGAATCTTTAACTTATGTATTTGGTTCTATATGACTTACTCTTATCCTTTTTTATTGCCCATAATGATAGATAATGTAATTAGAGTTTGAGATGATTGTTAGGCAACTTCAAATGGACATGTCTAATATATTTGGCTAAAGAAGTTAATAATATTTTGTTGATTTGACTAGCTAAAACAGTTGCAGTTTTCAAAGGAATGCATTTGGTGGTGGAAGTTAGTATTGAGGCTTTTAGCTTAGAGTGTCACTATACAAAATATTATTAGAAAATTCTATTTTCAATAAGAAGACATAATTGCAATCAAACAAATTGTTGAATTTGAATTTGCATATGTAGATTTACAAATATGGCAATTCATGTTTTTATTTAAACTTGCTATACATATTCTATAACTACTTGGTTAGATAATGTTTTCATCTATTTGTAATGCTATTAGACATGATTTAAATGGATGGATTAACTCGCTATTTCTCTCAAAAAAGAAAGAAAAATATGCAAGTTTGTATTTTTTTGATTGATGTTGAAGCTGGTCACAGGTTTTTGTGCCTTTCTATATTTTTTCTAATTATTAAAATTTTTGAAACATTATGACAACTGTTTATTTAATTACAATTAAAACTATGCTGCTCTTAAACCCATCATGCACTCATAATGGATTTGCTTTGTTTTCTTTTTTGGTATCATTACGTACACATAATGTTGGTTACAAATCCTTTTTCCAAATCACAATAAATTGGGGTTAACATTACCGTCTGAAAGTTCTTTTCACAGCAAATTTTAATTGTTTTTATACTTAATATTTTTCCTATATTTCTATTCATTGTGCACTAAAACTGCCGGTGGTATGTATTTAACAAATGTTCTAGAGGGCCGTGCCTGTGCGTTGCACAGCCCGTGTCAACATAGTGTCATTGCAGTTCTGGCAACCCGTATTCGTTTATCGTCCGGACCATCCATTACGGGTGCTTTTCAATTTGCCCCTGTTCCTAACTTGGGGTTGCGGTTTCTGTTTATAAATTCAAATTATTTCATGGCAATCTGATCCAAATTTCCCCCTCGCTATAATGAAACGTTCGGAGACATTTCATTGCTTACGACGCACAGGTTGGCCACAACACTGTTTCCTTAGTCGTCCAAGTAAAACTGAGAAGGGTATGTATGTCAAGGCCAATGAAATCATGCATAGCACACGCGCCGACCGTCACTGTAACACATTTTTCCCAATTTGCAACCCTAATTACCAGGTACAAGCCCATTGCACGCCCAACCTGGCGACAGCCGTCCAAAATGTCTAACAATTCAAATTTCTCGCGAAGAAAGACGCCTACGCACCTACAAGGCCGCAACACTTAACGGCAAAGCTGTTCATAATCGCGGGTGGGGTGACAGGGATTTTGTGATAACTAGAGCTGCGCCATCACAATATTCGGAATAAAATCCAACTCCAAAAAAGCCGTGCGATGGGCAGGCTCCATCGGTACCGTCCACCGGCTGATGAAGAACACTCGCAAGAACTGCTGCTTGATCGGAAAACCCACATATCACACATTTTCCTTGCACAGGGGGTACATGTTGCAGAATCAATGTCGACAATTACTTGTGCTTATTTTGCCCTAAGCCCTCATTTGGTTTATACTTATATATAACTGCCTGAATTGGTTCTACATTAATGCACAGGAAGTCTATTCAATTTATCCTAGAGGGTCGTCAGTCGAAGTTATGGAGTGGTGGAAGAGGCTGCCTCGTAAGGTGGCCGCGAAAGTTGTTACTGCTGGGTTTGGGGATTTTCTGAGCCACTTGCCCGTGGCCGATAGAGATAGGAAGTTGCCTGTCGCACTTGCGGAGCGATGGTGGGACTCAACAAACTCGTTCCACTTGCCTTTCGGAGAGATGACACTGACACCCTTGGACTTCACCTGTATAACCGGTGTTGCAGTGGGCGGGTTGGCCATTCCGTGGGATTACAATGTTAGGGAAAATGCCAATTACATCAACGAGCAATTGGGTTGGGTGCCAGCTTTTGCTTCTGCCGGTGCCATCAGAGTTACCGATATATTGTCATTCTACAAAGACAAGGCCATTGACGAGAACGACGACGTCCAGCTGGCACATCTAACTAGAGCTTTCTTTCTCTACATGCTTGGCCGCACTTTACTTAGCAACACGGCCGAAACAATTCACCTGTGCTGTCTGCCTGCGCTGGAGGACGTAGATCGTATAGGGGATTATAACTGGGGGAGGGGCGGGGATGGCAACCTTGTACAGATTTATGTCCGCCGTCTCCCGACGCCGGACGAAAAGCCTTGGCGGCTACAGCTTCGTTTGGGAGGTAAGTCCAGAATTGCCTTCACTCTGTGTCTATTCGACATTACCCTGTTCCGTTAAATAAACTTTTCAGGCAGTTAGTGTTCATCTCCAACGCTGGATATAATTTGTACAACCTCGTGTAGGTGTGGGCTTATGAAATTCTTCAGTTAAGCCCGTATAAACTGAAACAGGACGAGAGGGACGTATTGCCCAAAATGTGGCGATGGCGCTCGTGTAATAGAGCCAGCCGACAATCACCGTCTACGGTCGAACATTTTCGCCGCGCAATTGACACCATTAACCCGGACAACGTTAGTTCCCATACTTACGACATCTTACATTTTCTACCGCCTACGTGTTAACAGTTGTTATGAATTTGTTCCGCCTGTTCAACAAACCAATGTTACATCGCTTGTTAATTGTGTGTCATAGGTCAACTGGCTACCCTTCCCTGCAATGTCATTGCCTAGTCGGTATCTCAAATCCAAGGAACTAACTGCAACGAGATTGCTTTTGGATGGCCCCATGGGACGATTTTACTACCTGGGCGAGAGGGTTATTAGGCAGGTGTATGTGCAAAGCAACCTCCCCATCGGCCATCAGATATGTACAGCGCTGATACAATTTCGGGAAACACGCTACATAATGTGCTTCATGGACTGCCAATTGCAAGCCTATACCCAAATCCCCCTCCATATGCTACGTATGACGAGTTTGTGCGCAGCAGGCTAATGAAACCAATGACTTCCTCCACGTTGCCACCCAGTGGGAAGGAGTGCGTAATTCATATATGTGACCAGTTGCCACTAAGTGAGGCTACAACACCGTCACTGAAACATCCAATTAATTACCCTCCCTGGTCTGTGTTGTGCATACAAACTGATGGATCACTGCAGCAGGAGGGCATTCACAGAGTTGGTGGCGATGTAATAGGGTTGCCTCTTCCATGTGCTGTTGGTGATGTGGTATGGCATTCTTCGCCCTGTACTTCACTCGCCATTTAATTTTAGCAATTTGTGTAAAATTAATACAGCCATCTGTCTTGTTTCCGCTTAGGTGCCTAGACACTGGTACGAGGACCTGCTTGTTCAGTGCATGGGCCTCAGAAAGAAAGTCTTAGAAAAAAGTGCAGAAATATTTCGTTTGGCATCCAATGTGTCGGCCAACTCACAAGTGGTGGACCAAAGGCTACATCAAATACAGGTAATTTTGGAAAGTGCATTGAAGCTCCAAAAAGGGGCAGGGAAACGCTGCCTTCGCGGTGGAATTGGTGGCTGGGAATCCTGTCTTTCTAAGCGTCCGAACACAAGTGCTGGGACGGAGACATTTACGGAAGACCTTGGTAGAGGCAAAGCTCACGAATGTCAGGGAATTCATAATGCCAAAGACTGAGCACCCATGGCCTATAACCGCAAACAAGGTTGTGTAGCCGGAGGAATGAGCATGCAAACTAGTTGGGAGTCCCCAGCAACAAAGCCGAGCTGTGAGCAATCGCCACGTCTGTTGTGTACTTCTAATACAATTTAAAATTTGAACACCCAGCACGGAAAATGTTAACAGTTCACAGATAATTGGTAACGTTGAACTTGTTTCTCTAAATTTGTACTGTTTCACTGCTTCGATAGAAAATTTGTCACCGTCAATTTCCCACAACTAATTTATAGTCCTGTTCTTATTTTTCGTCTATCCAAGATTGTTCTTCACCTGCAATTGAAGTTTGCAGTGAAATATTTACAACAAAACAATTTAAATGCAAGTTGTTGTTACTATAAATCTATCATACTTACTGCATTACATTTTTCGGACTTATTTATATCATGACAGAAAAGCCTTTTGTATGAATGCAACTCCAACATTATATCATGAGTTCAAGTTTCCACACAGTTGTACAGTAATTAGTGTGTTCTACCTTCCACACAGTTGTACAGTAATTAGTGTGAGGGAGGCTGACGAAGCATTGCTACCTAAGTGGATTGTTCCAACAGGGTATACCAATTTTTGTTTAACTATGTCACCAAAAAAGCATCAGAGGTATCAAAGTTGTTCGGATGGAGTGTCAGTAAACATGTGGAATTTTTTCTACATGTTAATAGCAATTTAGATTACGAACATGACGCGGACATTGCATAATTGTTATAATAAGAAATTCATTAATCGTGTGCCAACAAGTTACGTAAAATAGTAAACTCCAATGGAAATGTACAAATGATGTAAAAAATATTAATCGTAACTGATAGTTATTGGCTAATTAAATATATTAGTACAAATGTATTCTTAAACTTATTCGAACTAATTAATAATTTCTATTAGTAGATATGTATAATTATTAGTATAATTCATAATATTAATTATATTGCATAAGTTAATATACATATATAATACATATATAATACCATTGTCATTGGTGCACTGAAGAGACGCATAAGCATTGTGAGCAATGAAAATAGATGGGGAGAAACAAAAGTTACTGTTCCTACACCAGAATGGAACGATGGGCAAAACAAAAGGCGTTGGGCCTTACGGTCATTGGTTAGGATAGCAAGGAGACGAAGAAACAGCCCATATTGTAAAAGCAATTTATAGCAGCAGTGTAAGGCACCAGTTTACAAAGCCTGGGCAACTGAAGATGATTCCCAAGTAGCCACTTCGGAAAACGTCTATCCCACGAAGAGATTTTGCGCAACATACGCTTCCACTTAATTTCCTATTTACAAAAAAGGACCGTAATACACAATTTGTCAACTACTTACTCTCTCCTATTAACCAAGTGCAGCAGCACTATTTGCTACAACAGTGCTTACGACGCAACCATGACAGTCATGCATCTTGTGATCCTTCTGTGCATGACGCCTTCGGTGGAACTACAGTGACTTACCCATCTAGACATAGCTAGCAACCTTCAATACTCTTGCACCTCTACTCACCAAAACCTGCCTTATTTATTGCGTAACTGCAAACCGAACCATCAAAACAGTTGTGCCTCATCTTTCTCCTGGACTTCTTTGTTGGTCACCTGTGTCCCTTCCACCGCTACCGCATGCTTGTGGTGCAAATGCTTGTCCTCTCCATTCGCCTGAGTCGCTCCACCCCGTACCAATTTCAATTGATTTTTCTAGCGATTCATCCAAACAATTTTCCATATGATCATCATGAACTGCTGTGTTGTGCGAATTCTTTTTGTATGGGCATGTTCGTTGGTTGTGGCCTGCCTGCAATCTTCAACCCATATATCACATGTCAAATCATTTGTGACTGCAAGTAACCACGTCAACTAAGCACATTGCTAACATTACACCACTTCAACTTTCTTGCACTGCCAATAACTTTGTATACTTTGTATGCACTTTCAATTATGTGTTTATTTGCTACTGTTCAAAAATACCCACATAATAATTATTACCTTCACTGTCCACTTCATGTATTTTATCAATTAACAAATTGTTTATAACTACGTATGCATTTTCGATAGTACCTGCAATGACCACACTTTCTTTTCTTCTTTGATTCTGCATGCTTGTGATCACCTTTACACCGGGACACCCTGGGATCTAACAGCCCGAATGTTCTTCTACTTCTATCGTTCATCACTCTTGAATCCATTGCAAATCCGTCTCCCCCATATCCACTTTCAATCCACTTCTCCTTTAGGTCCACAGAATGCTTGTCAAACATCTGCTGCAGATCATTAAACGCATCATCCATGTAGGATGCATAGTAACACATACTATTACAACTCGACTTTAAAGTGCCATATCTGGCCATTTGTGTCAGCTGTTCGTCTGCAACAAATGCTTTCATTCCATTATTAGTACTGTAAACTCCCTTTGTCCACCGCTTCGAAATGCATGCTTCTGGGATCCTGTTCATTCCTTCTACCACCATCACGCGAAACATGTGAGCACAAGGAATCCCCTTTGACTCGAATTTCATGCAAGAGCAGATTAGCTTCTCCATTGACCTATCATAAACCACCCTCCAACTAATTTCGTGTCCACCATATTTCGAGTAATAATATGTACGACTCCCTCCATCCTCGCTCCAGCCCTCAGAAATTAGAAGTCCCTGCCTGTTCAAATGCTTCCTCACCATGAAGAACACATTCCTTGTAAACACCTCCGCTGTGCTCCCCTCTAATTCGGGCAGGATTGTGGTTAAGACTGGTTTTGTGTTTTCGCTTGTGTGAACTGCTTTGCTCTCAGTATGTCGAAGCCATGCTATTGCCAAATCAAAACTTCTAATGAATTCATATAGTCGCATTTTTTCATTCAAGTACTCATTCAAAAACGCATTCATTTTCTCACACCTTTGAGTGCTTCTCATACCTGCAAAAAAATGACCGCGTAAATAGGCCTCTGCCCATAACCTTCTCCTACGGTACAACTTCTTCACCCACTCATTCTCTACCACCCCACATTCATTAACTAACCTAGCCCAGCGATCCTCAAACTCAAGAGTGCTAAACTTTCTCGCCATCAGGTCATACAACCTGTTATTAAACTCCTCGCAGTGAATATTACTCCGTGCATTCCTATGCAAGTGCCACGAACATAGCCTGTGACAAGCATCCGGGAGAAGATTCTTTATCGCTCTTCGCATTGCACTGTCCCCATCTGTCATCACTGCTACTGGCTTTCTACCTTTCATAGCCTCTACAAATGTACTTAGCACCCATTCATATGTTTCAATCCTCTCATCTGATAACAGTGCACAGCCGAAAATAGTACTGTTCAAATGGTTGTTTACCCCTGCAAGTACAACTAGTGGCTTGCGGTATTTATTTGTTTTGTATGTTGTATCAAACACCAATACATCTCCAAATACACTGAAGTCCACACGAGATTTAGAATCTGCCCAAAACAACCTTGCCAATCTTCCTTCGTTATCTACATGATATTTATAAAAGAACATGTCATCGGCATCCTTCTTCGCTGCCAAGAACCCAAGTGCCCCTTCTGCATCGCCATTAAAAATATCTTTTCTACGTTCCTCGTCCATTCGGTTATACAGATCCTTAATGCAAAATCCCACGTTACTATACCCTCCGGCTTTGATAACAAAATGTTTCATTATCTAGCATATTCTGGCCCCAACCAACTTTAGACTTTTTGCCTGCGCATATTCTGCATCGCTCACTTTTCTATGCGACCTAAGGTGTTGCACACTTGCCTCTGATGCCAGCGGGTGATTGTGCTCCATAATGAAACGTGTCACCACATATTTTACCGATTATGTGTCATATTTCACGCGAAAGCAAGCCCCACACCCGGTCCTTGTGATTGCTTTTGCTTCTCTTTTCCGGTCTTCATAATTAAATCACTTTTCATTCCTATAACCTTCACAGCAACATACCCATTTTCTAAATCTTGAAATGCCATCTTCATCTCGTTTGGCATTACTTTTACGAATCCCAAATCCGCTTAGTTTCGCATACAAATTATAAAATTCCCCAGCTTCTTCTTCCGTGTCAAATGTTAATTTCATTACGTCATCCACGCCTATTGCGCCCACCAATTCATCTGCCTCCTCATCTTCGTGTCCTCCTATTGAACCACCGCTTTCTTCACTGCATGTGTCTCGGTCACACTCAGGTTCTTGGTTAAGGTCAAATGACATTAACCTGCCGCAACCATCCATCCCCATTTTTCCCTTCTCTGTTTCCTGCACCATGTCATGAGTTTTAAGCACCCCATCCTGCCCCATACTTACAACCCCTGTGTGGTTGTTCAATGCTTTTTCTAACCATGGTCGCTACACATTTTTTTTTCAGCCTCCCCATATGCTTTCGTTTGTAACATAAATACTGATCGTCTACTAATGGAACAAAACATATATACACGATCATTTCACTTAACAAACCATACTTTACCTCACAACTTTCACAAAATGCAGACGATAAACATTACTCTAACATTCATATACACAGTTTTTATAAGTGTGGCTGATGCAATTATATCAACCTTTAGCACAAAATACCACTATCGACATGCATTTTCATTAACACCAACAAACTCAACCTCTACTGTGTGTTTCTTTAATTCTTTTCACATAACCATGCGCAATGCAGTATGGGGGCCATTATCGATGTCCACACGGCCATCCAAATCACTCTATTTTAAGACTTTAGTCCTGTTACAACGTCTTCTTCACGTCTTCACTCATTTCTGCTTAATTTCCTTTACACTATTTAATACAAATTAGAGGACCAACATTTCCTACGTACGTACACAAAGCTCCGTGCACAAATAAACTGCGATAATTTCCCGGTTTCGTTACATCTTCGTTCGAAGACGCAGGGTCTTACACCCCGTACTTCGTATTCCTTATTCCTCTATCATTGCCTCTTACAAGAACTGTAGAAATCACCCTAGTAGACGTACAGGTGTTTTACTCGTTATTTTACTCCATTTTTCAAAGTTATGGAAAAACTCAAAAAAGTACTCACCTTTGATTTCTCTGCTTCTGTTCCACGCCGCTGCATTCTATCACCACAGCTTCGCAAGGGCTTTCCTCAGATATATCTACCGTCACCGCCTGCGCCTAAATTTACGCCAGTAGACACCACCTCTGTCTATTCCGCCTTGACTTCTTCTTTACCAAATTTTTGCCTTCGATTCCGACGTCACCACCTGTCTTCAAACACACGCATCACTGCGGGCCCCAACATGGCTGTGTGTTTAGTACCTTATACGCTTCCTCTTCGGTGGCCCCAGCATGGCTTTGTTTAGTACTGCTTTCTCTTTTTCTTCGATGTTTTATACAACAGAACCGACACCGGCTGTTAATTTTTATGCTTTCCGATCAACAATTTTGTATTCTACGAAATTGGGTTCTCCTGAACGTCTGATGGACGAAAGCCGTAAACAGCAGGTCGTTTATAAGACAACCGTTTTAACTAAATTTTATCCCATTACCCAACATTTGTATTTAAGGCACGTTGGGTACTCTGTCACTGTAATGGTTGAAAGGCACAAAGAGCTGGTCTTTTACTCACCAACGGGTTTAATTTCTTTTTATCCGATAAATCAGTCTGTCTTTATGCCACCTTCGGTATTATGTTGTTGTAATGGAAGAGAGCCAAGGGGAGCTGAAACTTTTAAACTGGGACACACGTTTGAATATAAGATTGACCAATCCAAAATGGATTTAATCTTTAGTTGTAGTGCAGGAAAGCCATAAAGAGTTGGCTATTTATTCTAAAATGCATTCCAATATGAGTACTGCGTTGTTATTATGGACGAAAGAGTTAAAAATTGGGGTTGTTTTAATAAAGTTAACGGGTTTTTTTTTACTCCTTACCCCATTATATTTATGTTAATTCCGTTTCACCCCAATACATTTCCAACATTTGCCGTACGCTACATTCACCGCGGTTATAGGTCACCACTTACTTTTTTAGAAACATTCCCTTCATCTCCGTACATGTCAGGTTGCTACGTGCCAGCTTCTTTGCCATATAATTTACTTTCCACACCTGTCTTTGAAATATGTGAATACACTACAGAATTTACCTTGATAAATAGATCAGATATGGAACCGCGCCTAGGGTACACGGCATTTAAAATGATGTCCTTGCAACACTTTTTATCTCTCCTTGTTTGAGTAGATCATAGGGATAATTGCAGAAACCTCCCCTGAGGTTTCTGACATTTGCACTGACCTCCCTTGTGGTTTGAAAAATTACACTAACCTCCCCTGAGGTTACTAATCCTTTGCAAATCCAGTCCAAACAATTAAAATATTGTTTTAGGGAGTGAAATTAGAAGTTTTTACCAAATTTGTCCTTTGTATTACATGTCCAATGAATGATAAAGTACTACAAATCAATTAATAATTAATAAATTTTAAGGAGTATAGTTTATAAGTAAATACGCATTATCTATTTAAAGTATCGGCTCTTTATGAGCATTTTATTTTCAAATATTTAATTTAATACAAATATTTACGCTCAAATACAGATTTGTATTTACTTTCAAATATTTATTTTTTGTTAAATATAAAAACTACCAATCTTTGTTCCTGTAAAAATATTAATATAACACTTTTTCAATTTTAATTACAAACATTTATGTATTTAACATAAATTAAATGATTCAGAATAAAATGCCCATAAAGAGCCAATACTTTACTCATGTAATGGATGATAGTCATAAAGAATTAATACTTTATGGGTCATTTCTTTTTTTAAAAAAATATTTAATTTATATTAAATAAATAACCTACCGATTTCCTTTTTTCAAGAATATTACTGTAACACTTTTTTGAATTTTACTTACAAACATTGATATATTTATCATAAATTAAATGTTTGAAAGTAAAATACCCGTAAAAAATCTGTAATTTAAATGAGTAATGCGTGTTTGTCCATAAAGAACCGATAACTATTTAAAGTACCGGTTCATTACGGGTATTTTATTTTCAAACATTTAATTTAATACAAATATTTACGCTCAAATACATATTTGTATTTACTTTCAAATATTTAATTTTTGTTAAATACAAAACCTACCAATCTCTCTTCCGTAAAAGTATTAATATAACACTTTTTCAATTTTAGTTACAAATATTTATGTATTTAACATAAATTAAATGATTCATAATAAAATACACATAAAAAATGAATACTTTATTCATGTAATGGATGAAAATCATAAAAAATTAATACTTTATGGGCCATTTCTTTTTTAAAAAAAATATTTGATTTATATTAAATAAATAACCTACCGATTTCCTTTTTACAAGAATATTACTGTAACACTTTTTGAATTTTACTTACAAATATTGATATATTTATCATAAATTAAATGTTTGAAAGTAAAATGCCCGTAAAGAGTCAGTACTTTAAATAGGTAATGCGTATTTGCCTATAAACTATACTCCTTAGAGTTTATTAATTGTTAATTGATTTGTAGTATTTTGTCATTCATTGGACATGTAGTACAAAGGACAAATTTGGTAAAAACTTCTAATTTCACTCCCTAAAACAATATTTTAATAGTTTGGACTGAATTTGCAAAGGATTAGTAACCTCAGGGGAGGTTAGTGTAATTGTTCAAACCATAGGGGAGGTCAGTGTCAATGTCAGAAACCTCAGGGGAGGTTTCTGTAATATCCCTAGATCATATGATATTTGGGTGTTGTTTTTCTTTCAATATAATATTTGTTGTGGGGATTTTATCAAACGATAAGCATGATGCCTTGCACCTTTTAGTAGCTTTCTTTGTTTATTTCTTTTCAAGATTTGGGTATTGGGTAATTTTGAGATGTACTAGAGTTCCAAAGCTTATCCAATGCAAATTTGAAAATTTCATTTCCGTTTTTAATTTACCAGTACTTATTAGCTTCGGATCATAGGCATAATTAGTTTGTTATATCCTAATTAACTGATTGCCTCGCTATTCAAGGTTAATATGCTTATTGAAACACTACTCTTTTTTTTTTTTTTTTAAGATCCCATGGAGGGTTGTGGTCCCAATCTATTACATTATATAGCATCCTATTCGAGTATAGTTAAGTCCATGACATCTAAAATTCAATAATTTTCTAAACTCTTTTGGAGGTGCATCAAAGAATCTAAGTCTTAGGGTACGTTTAATAAAACTGAAATTTGAAAGTTGAAATCTAAGTCCGAATTCATTATTGAATTACATTTGACCAATTTTTTTTTTAATAAAACATCATCATAACATTAAATCTATACTAATAGCACAAATTACATCAATCATACACAAATACAAATAGATCTAAAAAACAAATACTTGATATTACAAATCTAAAAAATTAATAGAATATTACACTGTAAAACTCCAATAATATCAAAAGATAAAACATTTATTGGCCCAATATCATATATGCATGCTTCCAACTGTGTTACTTCTTTTCTCCTAGATCTGCTAATTAACTAATTCAAATTCAGATGTTAAAGTGAGTTCTAATGAGGTAGATCTAAAAGATTTTAGATTCGACAACCAAATATGAGAAAACTTAGATCTAATACAAAAAATAAGAAAAAACTACAAAAGCTGTCATTAGAAATCTCTATGAGAGGAGAAAACATCGCTAGAAATTCTTGAGAGAGAATAAACTCTCACTAGGAAACTCCATGAGAGGAGAATAACATCTTTTGCTACTAGAATAACAATGCTCTCAATTTGATGAGTACAAGAGTTTCACATACTGTCCTCATCCACCAAGCTTCACAAACAAACTGAAAATAGTAGAACACAAATGCATCCATACAATGGTGAAGTACTTTTAAATTTCGACATTACAAGACAAGGTATGTGAACGCCTAGGATGAAATATGCAAAAAGATTCTTCAAGACCACAGGCTACGAGTCTTGATTAGGCACTTCTCTGCTGTAAAATTTTCCCACTACTCTGGAGTCCAGAATTCCAATGGCTTTCTCAGACTTTATGTTCTTAGGTGTCTTGTACTGGTTTAAAGAAGTTCCTTGAGAAACATAAAAGTCCATGAGCACGTTGAATGTTCCTTGTTTCACAACTCTAATTTCCAAAGGACCAATGGTACTGATGCTCTGATTCCTCAGCAACTTATATTTCTGGTCCAGAGATTGTTCCACTAAACTACAGCATTTTTCCATATTAACCTGATCAAGTACAGGAAAGTCATCATTTGATCTCAGTTGGAGCTCCCAAAAGAGTACATAGTGACCAGGAATAGAGGATGTATCAGCATAGCTACTGTAATCCAAAAGAAAGAACCCAAGTGGTTCAAGGATATGCATTGCAATTGTAACTGCATTCTGGAGGTCTTGTTCAGTTGTTTTATCTATGTCAATGCTCAAAACCACATTTCTCCTTTGTACAAATTTGAATTGGGGAGTGATATTGTGAAAACCTGTCACCAGGAGAATATCCCCCATTCTGTACCTGTATAAACCTGAAAGCACACGCTTCTATCAATATTCCAGATATTAGAGCGTTTAAGCATTTAAACTGTCTAATCATCATTGGTTGTGTGTATCAGGATAATAAATGTACCGAAAAACAGAATGTAATAAACCTATATTCAACAAATTTGAACATCAGATGTCCAAGGCAATTGTTAAGTAGAAATTAATGGAACTACCATCCATTTTAGAACATGATAAAGGGTTTAAAATGGAGACCAGTAGACACCTTCAAGAGGCACTTCTGTGTTTTATAGAATACTTTTTCATGGGTCAGACTAACAGAATTATAGTTCATATCTGTGGTACACCACAGGCAGTTAGGGTCAATTCAAAAGTACAGTGATCTCACCTATAAAGGCGCAACGGTCGTGACAAGAAGTTCATAATGCTGGCCTATCTTAACATTAGCAAGATCCACAATGTGATCTTTCAAATGAGCATCTTTCCTGATGGTGCAGTTTGGATCTTGATGATTGTCAATTGGTAAGAACTCATAGTAGGCCATGTTTGGTATAAAAGTATACGAGACATCATAAGGACGACACAAAGGTTTCATGTTAATCCCAAAAACTGCCTCTGAAGAACCATAAACTGGTGAAACTACAGGTAACCCACCCGTATAGACCTCAAGCGCAGGGATATATTGTGCCATGGACCCTGTAATAATGGCCATGACATACTTGGTCCTTGGCCAGATCTTCTTAATTATCCCTTCCCAAGACTTTTCTTGGCATACAAGATCAATTGAATCAGCCAAGTCCGGCATTTGTTTGCTCAAAATCAAGGAGACAGCCCTTTTGCAGTTAGGGTCAGTGATCCAATCACTCATTTGTCCAGTTCTTATGTTCGAAGACATTTCTTGCCAATTTTCCTTGAAAAATTAGATTATCCATATGTCATATGAAGCACCTTGAAATCCTCCATATGTCATATGGAGTGCTTTATAGCAGTTCTTATAGATTACATACTAATGAGAGAATGCTAGTAACGATACTTGTATTTCAACTTCCCTTAGATCAGTTTCAAATAAAAAAACTTTCCTTAGATGATGTGAACAAACCTTACCAAGTGAACCCAATCTCAAAAATACTAGTAATACAATAATACGCAAAATTAAAATGAATGTTCCTCTTCAGTGCAACTAATTGTGTCTTGACAAGCAATTTCGTTTGTTTGGATAGGGTATTATTTGAAATGTTATTTGGAATAATTACTGTAGCACTTTTTGTGATGTGATGTATGTGAGATAAAAAGGTGGTTAGAAATGTAAAAAGGTGGGTTGGGAAATATGTTTATGATGCAAGCGAAATATTATTGAGATAATTTCACTATCCAAACGAAATCCATTTCAAATTCACCACCACCATGTGGGTCATCAATTGTATGATGCAATTGCCTAGCAATTTCAGAAAGTCCCTTTCCCTAGTTGACTACCAAATGAAATTGGGTAAATACTATTTTGACTCCCTAAACTATATCCGATTTCTCACTTCAGTCCCTAAACTTTAAAATGGGACACTTAGGTCCTCAAACTACTGAATCCGTCCCAATTAAGTAAAATTGTTAACAAAATCCACAAAATCGTCAGGGTTTTCTGAGCGTACAAAACAAGCGCCATTGACCAAGGGCAGGGATGCAAATTAAGAGAAAAGATATAAAACGAAAGAAATTTATTTAGCACAAAGGAGGGAAAAGAAGGGAAACTTTCCCTTCTTTTATCAGGCACATTCGGGTGATATAATTGATTCGAACCAATTCATAAAAGGGAAGAGATGTGCCCTAATACAAAAGAGAGCAATTGGCTGAATATCCAACTGAGGGGTATGAACTAAGAGGTTGAGAGCTTTAGAAAATCTGAAGATAAGAAAGAAGACAAAGGAGAGATGGTTAGGGACACATGCAACGGTGGAAAACAAGCATTGATGATGGCAATATGGATAGATTTAAACCCAAGAAGAAGGTTTTGTCGATGTCCAAATTACAGGATAATTCCATTTCCATTATATCTGTTTGTACTTCTTTCCCTATGGTTTCGATTTGTATGCAATGCACCTAAGTAAACCTATATTTACTCTCTCAATGGTGTTGTCAATGTAGGAAACGGGGGAATGCAGTTATTGGGATTGAGTGGATCTTGAGATGTGTCAAAGGTCCAAGGATATAATCCCTGGACTAATAAGAACAAAAAACAAATTGAAATCTAAGATTGAGAGGTTGCAAGAGAACTCAAAGCTGTAGGAAGCAAAACTAAGGAGGCTAAAGATGTACTTGTTTCTTCACTGGGTTGTTGTTGTTATATGGATGCTTTTGTTCAAATCTGGGCCATAAAGGTCATCATTGGAGTTTGACAAGAAACATGTCCATCTGTGTGGGAAAAGAAGCAATGGTGTAGTAGAATAACATAGTGCAACATGCAATGCAATGCATAATGGCGCTATGTAATTGGGATGGAAAAGATGTAATTTTTGTCTCTCTATATAAGCTGCGGTTATGGTGTAATGTAGCATATGCTTGAAGGAGCACTAGGTTCACTAATTTTGGATACAATTTTTAGTTTAGGGGATTATGTGCTCTTTTGTTTGAACTTTACGGACCTAAGTGTCCCTAGCTAATGAAGCATTGGGATTGAACTATCCTTTTTTGTATAGTTGAGGGACTAAAGTGTCCCAACTTATTGAACTACTTTTGACAGTAAATGATAAACCTGTAAACATTTGTAACACCACCAACTGTTTGAGACAATAGATGCAATTGACAATGGACTGAATTTGATCATTTAAGAAGAAGGCACATTTAGCCTTACACCAAAAGACCACACGTTTCACAAATTTACAAAACAATAGCAAAAATTTCTTGGCATTTACAACATCAGTTGCCATTTACAAAACATCACTCCCCAAAATATAATGCGAACAATTTATAGCAATAGAAATTCACGAAACCCATCTAAACATAGATCAACACATTGCCATTTCCAAAACACAACTATTTTCTTGTGTGATTTAAATTTTCTAACTTTGCAGCTTCATTTGCATTCCTATAGAGTTGAACATTGGCCAATGCTAGTTGAATTATTCATATGACCTGCTGCTGCCTACAATGTAGATAGATTTACACACATGTTCCCCCTCCAAGTGAAGGGGGTTGGTTGAAGTCGTCTAGTGACACGACTAGTTGAACCCAGCTCTTCTGTCTGCCTATCATGAATGTATGAGTCTGGTGGTTTCATTGTTATCCCTGGATTGTGTGAATAAAGTTTGTCACCATTGTTGGAGTTCAACTACATGTCAGGAGATAACAAGTAGTTAATAGGAGAGTGAACATATTTGTATCTCACACAGCAACAAATGCAAATTTCAAAGCACTGGCATGTCCAGATTCAATTTCCTTTGAAGCTGTCTCATATGGGTTAATCAGAGAATCTGTTGCAACACTATTGAGTCCAAGTTCTCCAGTCATGTCCAGTGAGTTTCTAAAGATCCATTGCCTCAGCTTGCCACCTTTCTTTGAATGGCCAGGTTTCTGGCAAAATGAGCATTTTCTTGTGCCCTTGATTGGTTGTTCTTCATCAATTTTCTGTTCAGTCTGATTTTAAGGAGTAGCTATGCAGCTCTCTTATGTACTTAATTGAGTGACATTAGCATTACTTGGACTAGTGCTAGTATGCCTTGTTTCATTTCTGATGGCATCTGTTTGTTGTGTGCTATTCCCACTAGATCCTTATCCATATGCCCATTTGGTCTCTTTTCTACTGTAGCAGTTTGCTAGTTTTTTTAGGGCAACTGATACGAACCCGCCCGGAGGCATGAACTCATATCCCACGTAGCTCCCAGATCTAGATGAAGGAATCAAGTTGGTTTGCGAAGCAACACTCGAACACCTAACTCTATGAAGCGAACCTTGGACTTAACCTCAGCCCACAAGCACTCGAGTAAGTGGAACGAAGTTACAAGTAGAAGAATGCCACAATCAAGGTGTGTACTTGATTGATAAGTTCAATTGAATACTCTCGAGCAATTCTCAAGTATTCAAAGGGACTCTCATAGACAAGAGAAAAGTGTAAACACTCAAATTTCTGAAATATTATTGAATGAATAAAACTGTTGGTGGTGTGGGCTATTTATAGCCTTACATAGAGAAGAAAACCGAAAGTGATGTGGAATTGATTCTAGAAATCCTAAAGTGATTTGTAATCACTTATTTCCTAAGAACTAAAGGACTTAGTTTCGGCCAAGGTGGCCTAGTGGGCCTGGCCGAACCTATGAGGACACTTTATCACTAAAATAAAACAAGATAATGGACTATCAAGCCCTTATGTCAACGACTCAACTAATGACCTCAGAAAATGAGATTTTAATCTTCGGATGGAGCTCCCATTTCCACTTCGCTTGACTCAAGGACTTGAATGAGAGTATAGCGAATTGTCTTGTCTTGCTCAAGCTCGGTTTCAATGCATGCATGGTCAATTCCCTCGTAGGTGGTGCAAACTAGTGTTTGCATGGACTCTTTGAGCTTCTTGGCACGAGCCCTTGTCATTGGGCCATTGAACTCCATTTGGTCCTCCTTCACGGCCTCAAGGGCAGCCGCCCCTCCTCTTGCGTCATTCCCCTCCTCTTAAATGCAATTTGTCCCCAAATCAAGCTCATCATCTGCAAGAAAAGGGCTTAAGTCAGCCACATTAAAGGTAGCGTAGACACCGTACTCACCTGGTAGGTCCAATTTGTAGGCGTTATCCTTGATGCGTTCCACCACTTGGAAATGACCATCTCCTTTAGGCAAGAGTTTGTTGCGTCATTGCACGGGGAACCTCTCTTTGCGCATGTGAATCCACACCCAATCACCTAGCTCAAAAATCATCTTGCGACGACCTTTGTTAGCATGACGAATAAATTGGAATGTGTGCTTTTCAATATTATTCCTTACCTTTTGGTGGAAGGCACGCACTTGCTCAGCCTGCTTCAACCCATCCATGTTAGTTCACTCAATTATAGGTAAATGTGATAAATTCAAAGGTGTGAGAGGGTTAAAACCGTAAACGACTTCAAATGGGGAATAGTGTGTGGTGCTATGGACTGTGCGCTTATAGGCAAATTCAACGTGTGGCAAGCAATCTTCCCATGACTTTAAATTCTTTTTGATAAGTGCACGCAACAAAGTAGAGAGTGTCCTATTAACTACTTCAGTTTGACCATCGGTTTGAGGGTGACTAGAAGTAGAGAATAAGAGTTTAGTTCCTAGTTTACCCCATAACGATTTCCAAAAATAACTGAGGAACTTAACATCTCTATCACTAACAATGGTGCATGGCATTCCATGTAGTCTAACAATTTTCCTAAAGAACAGGAAAAGATACCATGTTAAAAGATATCAATTTTGGAGAAAAATGTTTATTGAAATCATAATTTGTACAATGATATAACGTCTATATTTATAAGTTTTATAAAATAAATGTAGACACTTAAACACAATGAACCTACATTAATATTATACAAGGTAAATATCTTAACTAATGATGTAATTGATACTAATTGACATTCCTAATCTTGCTAATTAGTACTAATTGTTACAACATAATATTTTACATTAACAAAATCCAATTTATCTAAACAAACACGACTAATTATTCTTTTCGTTATTCTTGCTTTTGCAAAGATCATCTACATCAGACTCTTCTCCACTTTGCTTTCCCTTGGAATGCCCCTTTGCAGCACATATATTTCTTTATTTAATTCTTGTACGACGAAGGTGATACTAGGAGATGGTGTTGTTTTGTTATCATTTTTTTTGTTTTGTTATCAATTGAAAGCCACTTTTTTTTGGTTTAAAGTATCCTTCATTTTTTTCTTTTTTTTTGGCCTTTTGGGTATATATCTTTTGTGGTTTGAAGTTTATTTTCTTAAAAATTACAATTTTGTAATTTTTGAAGTTTCCTTTTCTTTCTTTAGTGGTTGGAAGAAATTACAGTTTTTAATTTTCACAACATTACTTGTACTGTTTTTGACTTCTCATCTTACCAAGAAAGTTTTTTGGGTACTTAAAGAGTATTTTTCCCACCGAAAAGGACACTTACAGTTAATGGTTCCAAAGTTGTTGGATGTTACTCTCATTGTAAGATGAATTTAAAGAAATAATTACATATGTAACTCATCTAGCGCATAATAATCATCGGTGATGGAAAATTTTCAGATTTCTTTATACATGTTTATAATAAATAAGAAAAACAATGGACCAATGAGTTGGCCAATTGCGCTGATAAAACTCGGAACTAATCACTCAGTCAATTGTCACTCATTTTGACTGAGTTCAAGAACATTGCACTGAAGTTCACATGCTGGTTTAGTCGAGTTTCAAATGTACAAGACTAAAATGCTGCGAATATACTGACAGTGTATGTATTTTTACCATTTGATGCATGACACATAATTCGAATTTAAATTTGAAACCTAAATTTTGCAGATGTGTCGTGCATCCGATCGTGATAGTGTATACATTATCAGTATTTATAATATTTACTCTAGTTATATTTACTTCCGTTAAAGTTTGATCAAATTACTAAATGAGCCCTATAACTTGACTAAATTAGAGTCAATTCCCTTGAATGAGAAAATGTTTATCAAACTCCCTCTAACGCTGATTGCCATCAGAAATTATGCTTGCATGAGAACAATATATGATTAATCCCAAAATACCTTTTAATAAATTCACCTTATTACATTTACAGCCCTTTAAGTTTTATCCAATTTTGTTTACCTCTCCTGAGATTTGTCGAACTTACAAAATGAAACTTAAAATTTTGTCCAAAGAGAGCCCCCTTCACTTGAAGGGGGAACATGTGCGTAAATCTATCTAGCAGCAGTAGGTCATATGAATAATTCAACTAGCATTGGCCAATGTTCAGCTCTAGAGGAATGCAAATGAAGCTGCAAAATTAGAAAATTTAAATCACACAAGAAAATAGTTGTGTTTTGTAAATGGCAATGTGTTGCAGCTGTATGTTTAGCTGGTTTTTGTGAATTTCTATTGCTATAAATTGTTCACATTATATTTTCAGAAGCTGATGTTTTGTAAATGGCAACTGATGTTGTAAATGCCAAGAAATTTTTGCTATTGTTTTGTAAATTTGTGAAACGTCTGGTCTTTTGGTGTAAGGCTAAACATGCCTTCTTCTTAAATGATCAAATTCAGTCCATTTTCAATTGCATCTATTGTCTCAAACAGTTGGTGGTGTTACAAATGTTTACAGGTTTATCATTTACTGTCAAAAGTAGTTCAATAAGTCAGGACACTTCAGTCCCTCAACTATACAAAAAGGGATAGTTCAATCCCAATGCTTCATTAGCTAGGGACACTTAGGTCCCTAAAGTTCAAACAAAAGAGCACATAATCCCCTAAACTAAAAATTGTATCCAAAATTAGTGAACCTATTGCTCCTTCAAGCATATGCTACATTACATCAGAACCGCAGCTTATACAGAGAGACAAAAATTACATCTTTTTCATCCCAATTACATAGCACTATTATGCATTGCATTGCATGTTGCACTATGTTATTCTACTACACCATTGCTTCTTTTCCCACATAGATGGACATGATTTTTTTCAAACTCCAATGATGACCTTTATGGCCTAGATTTGAGCAAAAGCATCCATATAACAACAACAACCCAGTGAAGAAACAAGTACATCTTTAGCCTCCTTAGTTTTGCTTCCTACAGCTTTGAGTTCTCTTGCAACCTCTCAATCTTAGATTTCAATTTGTTTTTTGTTCTTATTAGTCCAAGGATTATATCCTCGGACCTTTGACACATCTCAGGATCCACTCAATCCCAATAACTGCATTCCCCCGTTTCCTACATTAACAACACCATTGAGAGAGTAAATATAGGTTTACTTAAGTGCATTGCATACAAATCGGAACTATAGGGAAAGAAGTACAAACAGATATAATGGAAATGGAATTATCCTGTAATTTGGACATCGACAAAACCTTCTTCTTGGGTTTAAACCTGTCCATGATGCCATCATCAATGCTTGTTTTCCATTGTTGCATGTGTCCCTAACCATCTCTCCTTTGTCTTCTTTCTTATCTTCAGATTTTCTAAAGCTCTCAACCTCTTAGTTCTTACCCCTCATTTGGATATTCAGCCAATTGCTTTCTTTTTTATTAGGGCACATCTCTTCGCTTTTATGAATTGGATTGAGTCAATTATATCACCCGAATGTGCCTGATAAAAGGAGGGAAAGTTTCCCTCCTTTTCCCTTCTTTGTGCTAAATAAATTTCTTTCTTTTTATATCTTTTCTCTGAATTTGCATCCCTGCCCTTGGTCAATGGCGCTTGTTTTGCACACTCATAAAACCCTGACGATTTTGTGGATTTTGTCAACAATTTTACTTAATTGGGACGGATTCAGTAGTTTGAGGACCTAAGTGTCTCATTTTAAAGTTTAGGGCTGAAGTGGGAAATCGGATATAGTTTAGAGGGTTAAAATAGAATTTACCCAATTTCATTTGGTAGTCAACTAGGGAAGGGGACTTTCTGAAATTGCTAGGCAATTGCATCATACAATTGATGACCCACATAGTGAAATTATCTCAAATAATTTTTCGCTTGCATCATAAACACATTTCCTAACCCACCTTTTTATCTCCATACATCACATCACAAAAAGTGCCACAGTAATTATTCCAAATAATATTTCAAATAATGCCCTATCCAAACAAATGAATTGCTTGTCAAGACACAATTAGTTGCACTGAAGAGGAACATTCATTTTAATTTTACATATTATTGTATTACTAGTATTTTTGAGATTGGGTTCACTTGGTAAGGTTTGTTCACATCATCTAAGGAAAGTTTTTTTATTTGAAGCTGATCTAAGGGAAGTTCAAATACAAGTCTCATTACTAGCAGTCTCTCATTAGTATGTAATCTATAAGAACTGCTATAAAGCACTCCATATGACATATGGAGATTTCAAGGTGCTTCATATGACATATGGAGAATTTCGAGAAGAATTTGTCGTGCAATTTCCTAGCATTGTTTGTACTGATAAATACGTCATTATCCTGCGCTGAATTGAAATAAGATAATGCTTTTCTCCACCCAAACCTTATTATAACCAAAAAGAAATTAAGACTACATGCTTTTTGTGGCGTCCTATTAGGACTTGTTTTGATCAAACTAGTTGAAAACAATGGTTGCGTCTAGATTTGTTGCTCTGCTACTAACTTAGTAGAGCAACATTGTATTCCTACTTTATTCTAAAGTGGCTGATGAACTTCAAAGTTTATGATGGCTAGTTAATGGTGGAGCAAATACAACAAATTCATTTATGTTTCGACAATTAGCGTGAAACTGCTGATCTATAGAAGAAAATTATACTGTTTTTAATGTGAATGAGTTATGGATCCAGCCTTGATAAGTTTAAGTTAATTAAAGTAGCCACATGCAATGAGGCTCAATTATAATTTAGCCCCTTTATTCACAAAGTATGCAGATCAAACCCCATGACTAATAGTCAAAGCCATGAAATGAACTTTGGTTTATGTCAGTAGCTGAAAAGACAATTATGCCATCAGAATTTCTAGCCTTGATAACTTTACCCTTCTCATGCCATCGGATAAAATAGCATTCTCCTATTGGAAGGAAATATGTCATTTGAAAAGTTATATGCAGGACTCCCAAGTTTTTACCCCTTGAAGTTTGCTAGTCTCAACTAAGCATTTTGACAGGTGGTCAAATCCAAAGGAGTATGCTCAACTTTGTTCTCAATGTCATAACGACCAATTTATCCATTACTAACTATTATACCCTGTCTGGGTATAATAGCAACCAATCTGGGTACAGTTACATCCATAACATCTAAATTCAATAATTTTCTAAACTCATCTGGTGGTGCATCAAGGAATTTAAGTTAAAATTTAAAAACTGAAATCTGAAGTTTGAATTCATTAAGTAATTAAATTGTTAACTACTAAATATGGTACATTTGGGTGTATTTTACATTATGTGATAAGTGAATAACTTATCACTTATTTTTTTAGAATTAATCTTTCCTACACTGATAGTGTATACACTATCTTTCCTACATTTTTTTTTAGAATTAATCTTTCCCTCGTGCCATTCATGCTTCAATTCTCTCTTCCATTGTTTAGCTAGCCAACTGTTTATATGCTAAATTAGAGTGTAGTGTGGGATTTCCTCGGGTGCCTTGTCATTCAGCCCCAAACTCACATTTTAGTCTAATTCAATGATCATATTTTTGCAACAAATATCCCTTGCCATACTCAACCCATAAATGATGGCCCATAGTTCTACTACCTTGTTAGTTGTAGTTCCCAAGCTGACACCGAACCCATTCATCCAGTAAGCCCCTTCATCTCTAATTAGTCCTCCTGCTCCAGCTTGTCCTATACTGTTGCTTGATGCTCCATCCACATTTAGTTTCACCCATCCAATTTGGGGCTTACTCCAATTGATAAACTGCAGCTCCTTCTGTACTGCTCTATGATAGTTGGTGAGAGATTCCTGACTGAATTCGGCTTGGGCTATCATTGTTTGAGCATTGATTTTATCTTAGTTGCAATAATATAGGATCCCAGCATACCAGGCAAAATAAAAAAGTTCTTGAATCAAACACCTGCCAATCTTCATCTTCTATCTCTACAGTGTCATATTATTTTAAGCTCCAATCAAGCCATTCTTCCAGATTTGGGTTCCTAAATTTCCCCATCTACTTGGTAGATTAGTTTCTTCCATATTGTTGATATCCAGTCATAGCCTAGCAATCCATATTCATAATTATTGAATTACATTGACCAACTTTTTTTTTTTATTATAAAACATCATCATAACGTTAAATCTATACTAATAGCACAAATTACATCAATCATGCACAAATACAAATAGATCTGAAAAACAAATCTTGATATTACAAATCTAAAAAATTAATAGAATATTACACTGTGAAACTACAATAATATCAAAAGATAAAACACTTATTGCCCCAATATCATCTATGCATGCTTCCAACTGTTTTGCTTTTTTCTCCCAGATCTGCTAATTAACTGATTTAAATTTAGATGTTAAAGTGAGATCTAACGAGGTAGATCTAAAAGATTTCAGATCCGACAACCAAATATGCAAAAACTTAGATCTAGTACAAAAAATAGAAAAAAAACTACAAAAGCTATCATTAGAAATTTCTAGGAGAGGAGAAAACTGTTATTCAAAATTCCTAAGAGAGAATAAACTCTTACTGGGAAACTCCATGAGAGGAGACTAGGGGTGATCAAATTCGGTACGTACCGAATTCATATCCGAATTCAAATTCAATTTGGTAATTTGAAATCGGGTATTTGATAGTTTGGTATAAAAGCGGTATTTACCGAATTCACCAAATTCTAATATGGTATGAAATAGATAATGAGATTATGAATTTGGTAATAACCGATTTCGAATTCATTTATAAAGAATTGGTTTAGTATTAGTATATACTACTAATATATTATTATATTATATAGGTAAATGCTATTAATAATAGTTAGTATATGGTGTTATCATGTACTTATGATAATAATAATATATAATAATGTACAATATACTATTTTAATATTTGTTAATTGTTATATGACTATAATAATACAAATATACAACAATACATAACATAACTATAATACTTATTATTTTATGCATGACTAGAATTAGATAATAATTAATAAGTATAGGTATAATACATAACTATATTTAGTGTAACTATAATACTTATTATTTTAATTAGGCCGGAAACTGCAATTAAAGGATTCAGCATTTTTTTTAAATGAATTCGGGTTAACCGAATTCATTACCGTTTCCAAATTCAAATTCGAAATTGAATGAATTCGGGTATCTCCAATTCGAATTTGAAAGTGGTTTAGATTTCTGTAAGTCTAATAACCGAATTTACCAAATTCATATAACCAAATTACCGAATATGCACTGTTTGCTCACCCCTAGAGGAGAATAACATCTTTTGCGACTAGAATAGCATTGCCCTCAATTTGATGAGTACAAGAGTTTCAGATACCGTCCTCATCCACCAAGCTTCACAAACAGACTGAAAAATAGTAGAACACAAATGCATCCATACAATGGTGAAGTACTTTTAAATTTCGACATTGCAAGAAAAGGTATGTGAACGCCTAGGATGAAATATGCAAAAAGATTCTTGAAGACCACAGGCTACGAGTCTTGATTAGGCACTTCTCTGCTGTAAAATTTTCCCACTACTCTGGAGTCCAGAATTTCAATGGCTTTCTCAGACTTTATGTTCTTAGGTGTCTTGTACTGGTTTAAAGAAGTTCCTTGAGAAACATAAAAGTCCATGAGCACGTTGAATGTTCCTTGTTTCACAACTCTAATTTCCAAAGGACCAATGGTACTGATGCTCTGATTCCTCAGCAACTTATATTTCTGGTCCAGAGATTGTTCCACTAAACTACAGCATTTTTCCATTTTAACCTGATCAAGTTCAGGTATATCATCGTTTGATCTGAGTTGAAGCTCCCAAAAGAGTACATAGTGACCAGGAATAGAAGATGTATCAGCATAGCTACTGTAATCCAAAAGAAAGAAGCCAAGTGGTTCAAGGATCTGAATTGCCATTGCAACTGCTTTCTGGAGGTCTTGTTCAGTTATTTTATCTGTGTGAATACTCAAAACCACATTTGTCCTTTGTCCAAATTTGAATTGGGGAGTGGAATTGTGAAAACCTGTCACCAGGACAATATCCCCCATTCTGTACCTGTACAAACCTGAAAATACATTCTTCCATCAATATTCTAGACATTAGAGCGTTTAAGCATTTAAACTGTCTAATCATCATTGGTTGTGTATATCAGGATAATAAATGTACTGAAAAACAGAATGTAAAAAACCTATATTCGACAAATTTGAACATCAGAACAAGCCGTGCACATTAGATGTCCAAGGCAATTGTTAAGTAGAAATTAACGGAACTACCATCCATTTTAGAACATGATAAAGGGTATAAAATGGAGACCAGTAGACACCTTGAAGAGGCACTTCTGTGTTTTATCCAATACTTTTTCATGGGACAGACTAACAGAATTATAGTTCATATCTGTGGTACACCACAGGCAGTTAGGGTCAATTCAAAAGTACAGTGATCTCACCTGTAAAGGTCGTGACAAGAAGTTCATAATGCTGGCCAATCTTAACATTAGCAAGATCCACAATGTGATCTTTCAAATGAGCATCTTTCCTGTTGGTGCAGGTTGGATCTTGATGATTGTCAATTGGTAAGAACTCATAGTAGGCCATGTTTGGTATAAAAGTATACGAGACATCATAAGGACTGCACAAAGGTTTCATGTTAATCCCAAAAAATGCCTCTGAAGAACCATAAACTGGTGAAACCACAGGTAATCCACCCGTATAGAACTCAAGCGCAGGGATATATTGTGCCATGGACCCTGTAATAATGGCCATGACATACTTGGTCCTTGGCCAGATCTTCTTAATTATCCCTTCCCAAGACTTTTCTTGGCATATAAGATCAATTGAATCAGCCAAATCCGGCATTTGTTTGCTCAAAATCAAGGAGACAGCCCTTTTGCAGTTAGGGTCAGTGATCCAAGCACTCATTTGTCCAGTTCTTATGTTGGAAGACATTTCTTGCCAATGTTCCTCGAAAAATTTGATTATCCTTAACAAACCCGAGGCGAAAAAAGTACCAACGTTTACTATCGCATCTCGCTGCACAAGGCCACAAAGTAATTGACTATACAAGCTCTGATTGGAATCTTCACACAATATAAACTGAGGATATCTGTCTTTTCTGTTCTTTATCTCGCTTTCTGAGCCTGTTCTTAAAACTAAGCCACCAGGAGTGTGGATATCCGGGTTGATAAGGACAAATAACAGCGCTTTCCCATCGTTCAATCCCTGGAAGGACCTTAGTTCAAAGCTATATGTTTAGCAATTTTTGTTTGACTCTTATAATTCTACTGAAGAAATAACAACTGTATATTCACTGCATTAGACTTTACCTGTTTAAAACAGTATCACAGAGACAAGAAAAAAAGGCCCTGCGCTCTCCCTCTTCAGCAGTTTTTGGAATCCACTTTTGCTTCCCACCTGAAGTGCCTGAGCTGCGAACGAAGTTAATGATTTCAGTTAAGAAAAACAAGAAATTCATGAAAAAGAACAGAGATGACTCGTGCTTCAGCATTATTGATCTCACTCCATTCAGGAGTTTCCTTTTATCTAATTAGAACAAAACAAAGAAACTGATTTACCTTTTGAGTAGCTCAGTAATGGATTCATTAGTTAAAATCCGAGATGGCTCTCCATCCAGTGCAATTCGATCTATGTAAATCTTGATATCTTCATAATCTACCACAGGAACTTTATTCTTGAATAGTCCCTTATCAGAGTGACCATTAAGAAAACCCTTCAAGTAATCAGTGCTTGCATTTTTAGTTAAAATCTCCTCCAGGACCTGTTCTTGTATATGACCAGCATTGCTGGTTATATCCTCCAAAATCCTCGAACCAGCTTCAGTATCTCTTGGATCAAAGGTTGGCAGCATCCTGGTAAAGAAAAGAAATGCAGAATCTGAGTTTGGGGATGCGAAATATACAGGGAAATTAATTAATGAATAAGCACGCTCAACTACATTGTCTTGAGGAAAAGATTCACGCCATGGATAAGCCCTTTTAAACCCATTGGGCAGGTGATCCATCCTTTCATCCTCATTCCCTTCTCCAAGATGCCTAGTTAGCATGCTGTATGTTACCATTGTAAATTTGTAATGGTGTAAACAGAAAAACTCATTGAGTTGCTTAGTCTCCTTATGGTATGCTCATCACTTTCACAATCCAAAATCGCCAAATGATCTTGAATGTACCTTCGATCGAGATCTTATAGATCTATATCCATGCTTGAGTTCAGTCAAAATCGAATTCAAATCGAGTTCGAGTAACTTGAGTTGCTATACGAATTGAGTTGGATCTCCATATAATATTCCTTATTTAGCTTATAGAGTTTTTATGTATATTTTGTCGAGCAAGCTCAATCTCGAGCTTCAGCTTGTCCTCATAATTTTCTTGAGTCAAACTCAAGCATGAACACGTGATGTTCATTGAACTTGAGCTCGGCCTCAACCATAAATTAATTTTCTTTGATCTTGAGTTCTAGTACCTCAATATTTGGGCTTGATTTGGCAAATAACACCCCTAGAGAGGTGATCCAAAATTTAAATGAATGGCACATTTCTAGTCGTAAAAGGAAGCTTATTCGTATGCATCTTCCGAAATTTGGCAAAAATATACTGGATACCAGTTATATTCTACAATTTAATTAATAGAGCAAATTATATTTTATCCTCTGTGATTTAATACTTTTCCATGTAACCCTCCTATAGTTGCCAAGGCTATGTATAAACCCTTATGTTTGGACTAAAGTTTCAAAGTGACAGAAATGGTACTCTGTTAGGGAACCAACTCATAGGGCTGAAAAATGAACTAACCTACTCGATGTTCAAATCGAGGTCACTTGGTAAGAACTCGTTCGAGTTTGGTTAACCAACTAGTTAAGCCAAACTTGAACAGTGTTTTGATGCTCAATAACATTCAAACTCTATAAAAAAAACTCGTTCAAACTTTGTTCGGCAAATAAATAAGTTAAGTTTGAACAAAATTTTAAACTTGTTAAAGTAATCAAACAAACTTGAACATTACGGTTTTCAACTTGATTAGGTTCGTTTACACCCCTACCAACTAAAATGTTGAGATTACTCTCATTTAGAAACAAAAATGATTAAAATGGCCAAAATATGTAAATATAGTGTGGATGACATTTTAGTCCCTTATAGTTTAGTGTTTTCCACATAACTATCTTTTGTTTTCAAAATCTATACATAACATCCGTCTGGTTAACAAATAGTTTTCATATTAACATAGGGGTGTTTTTGATATTTTAGTAGATTACGTTATTGAATGCAAATTTGATCATTTTGACATTTTAGTCCAAATCATGATGGAGTTGCGTCTCCTTTTTGAAATGGTAAGAGGTTTATAAGGAAAAGTACTAAATCCCTGTAGGGTAAAGTGTAATTTACCCTAATTAATACTGAAGTGTTGATTTTGGGGCTTTTCAAGTAAACGGAGTTTGCCAGATAAAAAGGTGAGTAGTGTTTTGACTACCAATTTACCACAGCTTCGTCCTTCAACCAAAGGCAACAAATATCACCAAACTTATCAGCATGATAAGTGATAACCAAAGCTCTGAAAAAAACTGAACTTGAAGAATTACATATTAAGACAGGATTAACAACCTGACTGTATGAATCTTGTTGACTTTCGACCTACAAATGCAAACCATTCAAAAAATGTAAATATATGGCCAAGTAAGCGTATCGCATAGGTAAAAAGGAAAACATATGAATCACATCAGAAACAACAGGAGGAAATTAATCAAGGAAGCCAATATACCTCACCTAAAAGGAACTTGATTGCGTATAATCCTACGGCGCAAATATACCTCACCTGGAAAAAACTTGATTGCACTTTGATCCCACAGCAAAAATTTTGCAGAAAATGAAGCCTTTGAGACCTAATTTTTGTCGACTGCTGTTCAGTTATGCCGGCTTAATAGCAGAGAAGTGGATCTCTTAGTAATAGGGCATGTGGTAGACAGAGTTAGAAACTTAGAAATGAATTCCAAGGATGTCGGATTGCACATGTATGTAGGACAGGAAATACTCCAGCCCACTTACTGGCTAAGTCATCTTTATTTGTGAGGATAGAGTTACATGGTGGGACAACTTTCCACCTTGCATTGTAAATGCTGCGTTTTGTGATATGAATGGATAGAAAGTTATGCAGGGACTAGGGAGCAGTGAAGAAGCTGTCTGACCTGGCAAGGTTGAAAGATGTGAACGAGTCGAGTCGAGTTGAATTTTGATCTAATCGAGTTGAGTCTCAACCTAGGTTTATGAAACTCGAACTCGAACTCGAGTTCGACGAAATCAAAATGTCAAGGTCGAGCTTAAAAAAAATTATTATTTTATTTTAAAAAATAAATAAAATAATAATTTTTCTTAACAAAGAATAAAATATTAGGGATATATATGTAATTTTACTATTAAAATAAAAAATAATATTTATATATTAATATATATATATATATATAATCGAGCTCGCGAGTTAACGAAATTTATATTTTTGAACTCGAGTTAGACTTAGTCAGCTTGAACTCGACTCAAGTTCGATGTTGATCGAACTCGAGTCGAGCTCGGATTTGAGCCGCTTGCGATCGGCTCACAAGTGGCTCAATTTGTTTACAGCCCTAGTAAGGTTGACCAATTACCAGTGATACAGGAAGTTGTTTACGCCGGTCCATATTCATCAAATGTTGACCGGAAATTGTATATATATACAGGGAGAGTTGCAGTTTTAGTACCCAATGTTTGGCCCATGTATCAAATTTGCCTTCAATGTATCGATTAAAACAAATCTGGTCCCCAAGGTTTATGATTTTAGATAGACTTATGACAATTAGCGGAAATAGACCAATGAATAATGGTCAACATCAAATTGCTGCTAGTCAACAATTTTTACTTTACACTTCTAGTCCTCAATGTTTTGATTTTGAATTATTATCTTCTTTTAAATTTGAAACAGTGATATTAAGGATTTAGTATTAAATGAGATGTAAATTATAGGGTGATAGGAATTTAATTAAACTTCTCTTTCTTTTTCTTTTTATTTATTTATTTATGCCAATAGTATCCCATTTGTTTCTTTTCTTTTGCATAGTTAGTCTAAAATTTGTTAAAATATATATGTCTTATTGTTTCTCACTATTAATAATTAATTGACTATGAGCTTTATTTTTTTATTTTTTATGATAACTAAAAAACTTAATTAAGTTTCCTTTTGAATATATACTTTTTGTAATTAATTTGATTTGTTTTTTACATTTTAATAGGTTAACAATTGAGTTTGAAATGAAATTGTTATTTTGTAGATATTAAAATAAATCCTTTAAATCTACAGTATTGGAACATTAGATTTTAATTTATGGGAAAGACTGTTTTAGAGAGGTATCACACTGCTTTCGAGAAGCGAATAAACCGGCTGACCGCCTTGCAAACATTGGAGCGGACTCAGGGAAGAGTCTAACGTATGGCTCTCTACGTGATTTGCCTCGCTTGGTGAGGGGTGATTTCGCTCTTGATCAGGTGGGTGTCCCAAGTTTGCGTAGAGTAAGAGGGTAGACTATACTAGCGCTTTCATTTGCTTGACATGTATTCCTTGCATGAAATAAAGTAATTTTTATTTGAAAAAAAAAATTTAAGGGAAAGACAACAAGAAATAAAAGAAAGTTTTCTAAAGAATTCATATAATCACTTCACATTGATACTTATTTTCACTAGTTTTTATAAGTACAACGGCTAATTACAAAAATTTGAAATCTACATGCACAAAACATGCAACAATTTGTGTAGTAGTAATTATAATAAAATTAAATTATAAAACTAGAATTCTTAATTTCTTCCAATACTTTATATTTTATTTATTATTGGTATATTGTCATCCAAATTATAATTTATTTAACAAAGATATATATATATATATATATATATATATATATATATATATATAGGCTACCATTATGCTATGTCAATATAATGTGTTTTCATGAAATTTTTAGAAATTTAGAACATATTTGTTGTATATTTAATTTAATTCATATATTATTTTATTTTAAAAGCTCTAGTTGTAACTAAAAACCCATGGGACCTTAATGATCCAAACTTGAAATACTAGGAACTAGAAATACAAATTCAAAACTTTCGACTAACGCCAATTTGATGTTGACGATTAGTTATGATGATTTTCCATTAGTTGACCTAAAGCTGTCTAAAATCACGACCTTTGGGGACTAAATTTGTTGTTGTCAAAATATTGAGGACTAATTTGGCATATAGGCTAAACATTCAGGGACCAAAACTATATTTCTCCCAAATAGATAATCCCTTGTGTTATGAGATTATTAGATCTTCCCTTAACTAATTTGCCACATGTTTTACTTTCCATTTTGAATGTATGAATTTCATTGGGTAAATTCCATTTTGACCTCCTAATCTATACCCGATTTCTCACTTCAGTCCCTAAATTTCAAAATAGGACACTGAAGTCCCTAAACTATTGAATCCATCCCAATTAAATAAAATCGTTAACAAAATCCACAAAATCGTCAGGGTTTTTCGAGCGTGCAAAACAAGCGCCGTTAGTGAGACTAAATAAGCAATGAAAACTAAAATAGTTAGGACATGATTGTAAATTCGTCTACTAGGTATAAGGGCCAAAGAAATAAGTCAAAACTGCTTTGTTTCTTTCTTCTTCACTTTGAATTATTTGATTTGAACAGAGAGAGAGAGAGAGAGAGAGGAGGTGTGAATGATACATTACCCAGTTTCTACTAAGAAATACCTTGAAATGAACGTGATTGTGATTCAGAGGTGAAGTTTATTGTAAACATGGGAAGGAAGAGGATTGATGGAGAAATGAGATCGCCATTGAAGAACAAGAAGAGAAAGACCAATCTGGGTAAGAGAAATGATATTAGGGTCATTGTTTGCTTGTTGGTTATTATAGTAGTATATATAGTAGTTGGGTTATTTGAATTGTTATTGTTGTCGGCTAGGTTTTGTAGGGCTATTGCGGAATGTAAAAAGGGCCAGATTAACCTTTATATGTTAGTGACAAATTATGGTAGACAAAATTGTTTAATGTCGAATATATGGGTCTGAAAATGATTTGGGGTGTTTTTTAAGTCAATGTTTATGCTGTCCAAACCCTAATGTTCCTTGTATTGAAGACATTGTGGTCCTCGATCCACTGTAAAAGGTGTAAAAAATTAATTATTGAATTAAAATTTTTTTTCTTTGAACCAAGAAATGGTAATAGTGGAATTTGGCCTGAACCTTTCTCGTTGTAGATATACCATCAAGGGACCTTCACAAAGTTTCCTAACAAACAGTATATAGAAGGAAGGGTTGATTTTATCGATGGATGCAACCTAAAAATGTGGTCATTAGTAACTCTAGACAAATGTGGAGAGAGGCTTGGGTATGATATAAAAGATGGTTTTGGGTGGTATTATCTGCTGCTAGGGATGACATTGGATACAGGCTTGTTCATTTGTTTGTGTGATAGGGATTGTGAGGTGATGGTGAACACATTACCACCACATAGGGTGGCCGAAGTGTTTCTTAGAGTCGGATCAGAAGGTTGTCCACAGGCTGCCATACCCTTAAGTCAAGCTAAGGGAGATGAAGCCGAAAGTGATAAAGACGGTGATGTTATGATCATAGAAGAGGGTGTCAACACTGATGAAGTGGAACAAGATGGAAGAGAAAATGTTGACATGCAACCAGCAAATTTAGATACCAGGAAAGGGTGCAGTAGCAACTAGTCATCGAAAGTACCAAATTTGTTTTCTACAGGTTTGGACAGTAGCAATGGGCCTGAAGTAGCACCAGAAACTGTAGACGAGCAAGGAAAAGGTGCTGAAGTTGAACCAGAATGTGAGGATTTTCATTGTGTTGTTGCTGAAGATGAACCAGAAAATGAAGACATGAATAGCAAAGCGACTAAAGCTGAAATTGTGGTAGAAGAGAAAGCTGATAGCAGGAGTGACGCTGCAAAGGAACCAGAAGCTGTTGAAGGCTATGATGAAGCTTCAAATGCACAAGTTAGAGAAGAGGATAAATGTAAAAATTGTAATGAAAATGCAGAAAAGGCAACTGGCAATGAAGGTGGTGTAAGGGAAACATCATGTGATAATGCCAGAGTAGAAGAGGATGAAAATGGAGTCAATGTTGATGAGAAGTTGGCAGATTCAAACTATGAGGATCAAGGGGGAGACAATGACATATTAGATGAAGCCATAAGAATTGGTCAAAGTATTAGAGGGGACCTAGGTGCCCATGAACCTAGTTCTTCGCATTGCAATGAACATGTTCCTTCTCATTGCAGTGAGCAAAGAAAGAAGAAGTCAGGAAGCAAGAAAGACCCACCCATTGAAATTAACCGCTGTGATGACCCTGATATGATTAATATTGATGACATGGAATCAGAATATGACTCAAATGGTTCATTTGAATTGAAGAGTCAAAGTGAATTCGATGAAGATGGGAATAGTAAGACAAGGAGGGCTAAATTTCTAGATTTCAATGAGCAAACAAACATGAAGAAACCATAGTTTGAAGTTGGTCAGAGGTTCGCATCAGTTATTACATTTAGGCTGGCTGTAAGAATCCAGGCAATTATGGATGGGAGAGATGTGTAGTTCAAGAAAAATTGATACATGAAGGGTAAGAGTGAAATGAAGAAATTGTGACTGGCAGCTATTGGGGTCTAAAATGCAAGGTGAAATACCTTTCAGATAAAAACACTTAAGTGATTAGCACACTTGTGGAAGAGCGTTCCACAATAAAAATATGACATCTAGGTTGGCCAGCAAACTATTTGTTGATAAGGTCAGGAAAGCGCCATCTATGACAGTGCATGAGTTGATGACCAAAGTAACTGAGGAGTTAAATGTTGATTTCAATCTTAAGCAAGGGTATAGAACACTTAGAAAAGTGAGAGACACTATTCAAGGGTCTCATGACAAACAGTACACCATGTTGGAAGCATTTTGTGGTGAATTGAGGAGAGCAAATCCGGGATCTAGTGTGCTTGTTGAGACTGATGTAGATGAAGATGATGTTTCTAGATTTAGAAGACTGGCTGTAGAAAGTGAATTCGGTTAGATGGTTGCTTCCTAAAAGGTCCACATGATGGGCAACTTTCATTAGGAGTTGGAATGGATGGTGATAACAAAATGTTTCCATTGGCTTTGTTAGTTGTTGGGGTAGAAAATTATGATAACTTGAGTTGGTCTTTAGGATTGCTTGTACAAGATTTGAAAATTTCGGACTCTAGTACTTGGTGCATTATGATTGACAAACAAAAGGTAGTATTTATTAGCTATATTACCAAATCAAATTTTGTTGTTACGTTAAACTATTGATATTAATGTGGCATATGTGATTGTTGTGCTGTGTTGCACAAAGTCTAGTTCAAGCAGTTACGGACAAACTTCCACAAGCTGAGCATAGCTGTTGTGTCCAACACCTTTACACCAACTTCAAGCAAATGCACAGAGGCCTTGCTCTTAAAGAAAGGCTTTGGAGATGTGCAAGGGCTTCATATATAACTCAGCTCAAAATAGAAATGGAGATGACGAAGCAAGAATCAAAGGATGCATATGCATGTTTGGATGAAAAGGACCCCAATACTTGGTCTAGGGCTCATATCAAGACTGGATTGGATTGCGATATATTGGTTAATAATATGTGTGAATCTTTTAATTCAATTATTTTAAAGACACGATCATTGCCTATCGTAGGCATGTTGCGGACTATTTACTTATATGTGTTGAAGAGAATGGAGAAGAATAGAGAGACAATGTCCAAGCATGAAGGTTAAGCTACTTACTTACTATTTTTTATCACAATTTTTAAAGTTACACTATGTTCAATATCTAATTTGCTCTTTTATTTTTCAGGTCTCTTATGTCCAGCAATTTTTGACATTCTTGAGAAGGCCAAGAAAGAGCAATGCATGTGCATTTGCTACTATGCTAGCCCGATGAAGTATCAAATATGTTGTCCTTTCAGTGACCAGTTTGCCGTTGATTTGGGGAGCAAGACCTGCACTTGTAGAAAATGGCAACTGAGGGGAATCCCATGTGGCCATGCAGTTGCTACTATTAATAGGAGACGTGCCAAATCAAAAAAAAAAAATATAGCACCCACCTACTGGAAGAGTACATACATGAAGAGTTATGAACCTATGTTGAATCCAATCAATGGTCCTAATCTATGGGCCCAAGTAGATTTACCACCAATGAGGCCTCCAAAATATGGGAAATCACCTGAAAGACCAAAAAAACTGAGGAAAAAGGGATCAGATGAAGATAGGAACAAGCAGTTATATGTGAATCCATCTAAACCTCACAAAGTCATCAAGATTGGCACTAAGATGAGCTGTAGTCTGTGCAAGAAATACGAACATAATAGGAGGAGTTGCCCTAAAAAAACCAGCAAACTGTTGCAGTAGAAAAGAGACCAGATGGGCATATGGATAAAGAATCTAGTGGGAACAGCACACAACAAATAGATGCCATCAAAAATGAAACAAGGCATACTAGTACTAGTCCAAGTACTGCTAATGTCACTCAATTAAGTACATAAGAGAGCTGCACAGCTGCTCCTCAAAATCAGACTGAACAGAAAATTGATGGAGAACAACCAATCAAGGGCGCAAGAAAATGCTCATTTTGCAGGAAACCTGGCCATTCGAAGAAAGGTTGCAAGCTGAGGCAATGGATCTTTAGAAACTCACTGGACATGACTGGAGAACTTGGACTCAACAGTGTTGCAACTAATTCTCTGATTAACCCATATGAGACAGCTTCAAAGGAAATTGAATCTGGACATGCCAGTGCTTTGAAATTTGCATTTGTTGCTGTGTGAGATACAATTATGTTCACTCTCCTATTAACTACTTGTTATCTCCTGACATGTAGTTGAACTCCAATACTGGTGACAAACTTTATTCACATAATCCAGGGATAACAATGAAACCACAAGACTCATACATTGATGATAGGCAGACAAAAGAGCTGGGTTCAACTAGTCGTGTCACCAGACGACTTCAACCAACCCCCTTCACTTGGAGGGGAAACATGTGCGTAAATCTATCTACATTGCAGGCAGCAGCAGGTCATATGAATAATTCAACTAGCATTGGCCAATGTTCAGCTCTATAGGAATGCAAATGAAGCTACAAAATTAGAAAATTTAAATCACACAAGAAAATAGTTGTGTTTTGTAAATGGCAATGTGCTGCAGCTCTATGTTTAGCTGGGTTTTGCGAATTTCTATTGCTATAAATTGTTCACAGTATATTTTGGGGAGCTGATGTTTTGTAAATGGCAACTGATGTTGTAAACGCCAAGAAATTTTTGCTATTGTTTTGTAAATTTGTGAAATGTCTGGTCTTTTGGTGTAAGGCTAAACATGCCTTCTTCTTAAATGATCAAATTCAGTCCATTTTCAATTGCATCTATTGTCTCAAACAGTTGGTGGTGTTACAAATGTTAACAGGTTAATCATTTACTGTCAAAAGTAGTTCAATAAGTTGGGACACTTCAATCCCTCAACTATACAAAAAGGGATAGTTCAATCCCAATGCTTCATTAGCTAGGGACACTTAGGTCCCTAAAGTTCAAACAAAAGAGCACATAATCCCTTAAACTAAAAATTGTATCCAAAATTAGTGAACCTAGTGCTCCTTCAAGCATATGCTACATTACATTAGAATCGTAGCTTATACAGAGTGACAAAAATTACATCTTTTCCATCCCAATTATATAGCACCATTATGCATTGCATGTTGCACTATGTTATTCTACTACACCTTTGCTTCTTTTCCCACATAGATGGACATGATTCTTGTCAAACTCCAATGATGACCTTTATGGCCCATATTTGAACAAAAGCATCCATATAACAACAACAACCCAGTGAAGAAACAAGTACATCTTTAGCCTCCTTAGTTTTGCTTCCTGCAGCTGTAATTTGAGTTCTCTTGCAACCTCTCAATCTTAGATTTCAATTTGTTTTTTGTTCTTATTAGTCCAAGGATATATTATATCCTTGGACCTTTGACACATCTCAGGATCCACCCAATCCCAATAACTGCATTACCCCATTTCCTACATTAACAACACCATTGAGAGAGTAAATACAGGTTTACTTAGGTGTATTGCATACAAATCGGAACCATAGGGGAAGAAGTACAAACCAGATATAATGGAAATGCTTGTTTTCCATTGTTGCATGTGTCCCTAACCATCTCTCATTTGTCTTCTTTCTTATCTTTAGATTTTCTAAAGCTCTCAACCTCTTAGTTCTTACCCCTCATTTGGATATTCAGCCAATTGCTTTCTTTTTTATTAGGGCACATCTCTTCCCTTTTATGAATTGGATTGAGTCAATTATATCACCCGAATGTGCCTAATAAAAGGAGGGAAAGTTTCCCTCCTTTTCCCTCCTTTGTGCTAAATAAATTTCTTTCTTTTTATATCTTTTCTCTGAATTTGCATCCCTGCCTTTGGTCAATGGCGCTTGTTTTGCACGCTCAGAAAACCCTGACGATTTTATGGATTTTGTCAACAATTTTACTTAATTGGGACGGATTCAGTAGTTTGAGGACCTAAGTGTCCCATTTTAAAGTTTAGGGACTGAAGTGGGAAATCGGATATAGTTTAGGGGGTCAAAATAGAATTTACCCAATTTCATTTGGTAGTCAACTAAGGAAAGGGACTTTCTGAAATTGCTAGGCAATTGCATCATACAATTGATGACCCACATGGTGGTGGTGAATTTGAAATTGGATTGTAGGTTCGTTTGGATAGTGAAATTATCCCAAATAATATTTCGCTTGCATCATAAACACATTTCCCAATCCACCTTTTTATATTTTCAACTACCTTTTTATCTCACATACATCGCATCACATAAAATGCTACAGTAATTATTTCAAATAATACCCTATCCAAACAAACGAAATTGCTTGTCAAGACACAATTAGTTGCACTGAAGAGGAACCTTCATTTTAATTTTGCATATTATTGTATTACTAGTATTTTTGAGATTGGGTTCACTTGGTAAGGTTTGTTCACATCATCTAAGGAAAGTTTTTTTATTTGAAGCTGATCTAAGGGAAGTTCAAATACAAGTCTCGTTACTAGCAGTCTCTCATTAGTATGTAATCTATAAGAACTGCTATAAAGCACTCCATATGACATATGGAGGATTTCAAGGTGCTTCATATGACATATGGAGAATTTCGAGAAGAATTTGTCGTGCAATTTCCTAGCATTGTTTGTATTGATAAATACGTCATTATCCTGCTCTGAATTGAAATAAGATAATACTTTTCTCCACCCAAATCTTATTATAACCAAAAAGAAATTAAGACTACATGCTTTTTGTGGCGTCCTATTAGGACTTGTTTTGATCAAACTAGTTGAAAACAATGGTTGTATCTAGATTTGTTGCTCTGCTACTAACTTAGTGGAGCAACATTGTATTCCTACTTTATTTTGAAGAGACTGATGAACTTCAAAGTTTATGATGGCTAGTTAATAGTGGAGCAAATACAACGAATTCATTTATGTTTCGACAATTAGCGTGAAACTGCTGATCTATAGAAGAAAGTTATACTATTTTTTATGTGAATGAGTTATGGATCCAGCCTTGATAAGTTTAAGTTAATTAAAGTAGCCACATGCAATGAGGCTCAATTATAATTTACCCACTTTATTCACAAAGTATGCAGATCAAACCCCATGACTAATAGTCAAAGCCATGAAATGAACTTTGGTTTATGTCAGTAGCTGAAAAGACAATTATGCCATCAGAATTTCTAGCCTTGATAACTTCACCCTTCTCATGCCATCGGATAAAAATAACATTCTCCTATTGGAGGAAATATGTCATTTGAAAAAGTTATATGCAAGACTCCCAAGTTTTTACCCCTTGAAATTTGCTAGTCTCAACTAAGCATTTTGATAGGTGGTCAAATCCAAAGGAGTATGCTCAACTCTGTTCTCAATGTCATAATGACCAATTTACCCATTACTGCCTATTATACCCTGTCTGGGTATAATAGCAACCAATCTGGGTACAGTTACATCCATAACATCTAAATTCAATAATTTTCTAAACTCGCCTGGTGGTGTGTCAAAGAATTTAAGTTAAAATTTAAAAACTGAAATCTGAAGTTTGAATTCATTAAGTAATTAAATTGTTTACTACTAAATATGATACATTTGGGTGTATTTTACATTATGTGATAAGTGAATAACTTATCACTTATTTTTTTAGAATTAATCTTTCCTACACTGACAGTGTATACACTATCAGTCTTGGATGAATGACAACTATGTAAAATTTGAATTTGAATCCAACTTTTGCACATGTGTCATGAATCTAACGGTGATAGTGTATACACTGTCAGTGTATAAAAAATTTACCCTATTTTTTAGAGTGTGTTTTGACTAGAAAATTTAGTGCCATTTAATTAATCCAAATTTTCTATTTTTTATTATCAAATGCATCCGAATATATTACGATATGAATTCGTTAAATTTAAGTGTTGAATTGGATTATCAAATGGAGATTTAGTTTTGCTAAATAATCCGTGCACTTGTTACCCTCGTGCCATTCATGCTTCAATTCTCACTTCCATTGTTTAGCTTATGTGCTAATTTAGAGTGTAGTGTGGGATTTCCTCAGGTGCCTTGTCATTCAGCCCCAAACTCACGTTTTAGTCTGATTCAATGATCATATTTCTGCAACAAATATCCACTTGCCATACTCAACCCATAAATGATGGCCCATAGTTCTACTACCATGTTCTTTGTAGTTCCCAAGCTGACACCGAACCCATTCATCCAGTAAGCCCCTTCATCTCTATTTAGTCCTCTTGCTCCAGCTTGTCCTAAACTGTTGCTTGATGCTCCATCCACATTTAGTTTCACCCATCCAATTTGGGGCTTACTCCAATTGATAAACTTCAGCTCTTTCTGTACTGCTCTATGATAGTTGGTGAGAGATTCCTGACTGAATTCGGCTTGGGCTATCACTGTTTGAGCATTGATTTTATCTTTACTTGCAGTAATATAGGTTCCAGCATACCAAGCAAAATAAAAAAGTTCTTGAATCAAACTCCTGCCAATCTTCATCTTCTATCTCTACAGTGTTATGTTGTTTTAAGCTCCAGTCAAGCCATTCTTCCAGATTTGGGTTCCTAAATTTCCCCATCTACTTGGTAGATTAGTTTCTTCCCTATTGTTGATATCCAGTCATAGCCTAGCAATCCATATTCATAATTATTGAATTACATTTGACCAACTTTTTTTTTATTATAAAACATCATGATAACATTAAATCTATACTAATAGCACAAATTACATCAATCATGCACAAATACAAATAGATCTGAAAAACAAATCTTGATATTACAAATTTAAAAAATTAATAGAATATTACACTGTGAAACTACAATAATATCAAAAAATAAAACACTTATTGCCCCAATATCATCTATGCATGCTTCCAACTGTGTTGCTTCTTTTCTCCCAGATCTGCTAATTAACTGATTTAAATTTAGATGTTAAAGTGAGATCTAACGAGGTAGATCTAAAAGATTTCAGATCCGACAACCAAATATGCAAAAACTTAGATCTAGTACAAAAAATAGAAAAAAAACTACAAAAGCTATCATTAGAAATTTCTAGGAGAGGAGAAAACTGTCATTCAAAATTCCTAAGAGAGAATAAACTCTCACTGGGAAACTCCATGAGAGGAGAATAACATCTTTTGCTACTAGAATAACATTACCCTCAATTTGATGAGTAAAAGAGTTTCAGATACTATCCTCATCCACCAAGCTTCACAAACAA